GTGTGTGTGTGTGTGTGTGTGTGTGTGTGTGTGTGTGTGTGTGTGTGTGTGTGTGTGTTTCTTTAGGAAAAAGGTCACTATTGGTTTAGTCTCTATTTGTAAATATGTTTCAAAGATCTAATCCTAATTTCTACTTGTTATAAAACATCAAGTCAAACTGGAGCTAAATCTGTCTGTCTGACAGGTAGTGAAACAGGAAGTCAGAAATCTAAAAAGTGCTTCAGCTGTAATGACTGGATTAAATTACAGTTTTTGTTCTGCAGTAAAACAGAGACATGTTTTCTATTTACATTTCTTCTGTACAGTTCTGCTCAAAAGTCTTGATCCATCCCTCATTTCTTTGTTTTCTCATCCTAAAGAGCCAGACTTTTCTGTTCTGGCCCACAGGCTTCCAGGCTTTTTGAAGGTCTTTTTTTTTTGTTTTCAGTCATTTCGTGTCAAATGTTTGTTTTGCTACTTATTTCTATGTTGTCATATATAATCATTCAAGCATAAAAAAGAGAAATGAGGCAATGAACCATTTTTTATGTTTCAGTCATTTTTTGCACCTTTTTTCTCATCTCCAGACTCTACATAGAAAATAGTAGCTTAAGACTTTTCCACAGTTCTTGAACTAAAACAATTCTGCTACACAGAGTTTATTTTTTCACACGAAACAGTCAGATAACATGAATGCAAATGGCTTTTTTTACATTTTCAACTAGAGATGCATTAAATGGCATCAATAATTATACATCTGTTCATGTTTTTGTTGTATTTTTATTAGTCATAAATGATCAGTATTACAGCACCCTCTTCAGCCCACTGACAGACCTGCTCACTCAGTTTTAAAATACAGTAATATTTTTTTAAGAAATAAAAGAATATTGAGCTTGCACCATCTGGTCAGAGACATAATATGGCTTCAGACAACCTGTGAGCTTGTCTGGAGCCTTGCAGTGGTTGGATTCTGTCTCAGGCATCAGATTGTTTCTGCAGCAGGGACAGTTGTTTTGCCTCCAGCGTTGTGTTCCAGTTGACACACATAAGTGTAGATGGCCTCTCTGCACTGCATCATATTCAGATTCAGCATCTTTCATCGGATTTTTTTATTAACCTCATTATTTAAAATGATGTGTTCAAAATGTACACATCAATCAGATCTCTGCACAGTTGTAGATTATTCACTTTTAAAGAATATTTTGCTAACAAGTACTTGACTACATGATAACCAACACTGAGTATCAGCAACATTTAATTCAATTTTATCTTTGCACAGACTTTGGATAACTTCACATTTTGGCTTATTTACAAACTCAGATACACATTCAGGGTGATCTTTTGGAGAAAGTATTCTCATCTTTCATCTTGATTATAATATGCTGCTTACTGAATACAAAGACTAGTATTGAGCGTTATGTCGCAGTATTTCATTTTTTCATTATTATTTTACTACAGTCACGTGGAGACTCTTGTTCTTTTTCTGACTCGCGTTGCTGCATTGTCTTTTGAGTATTTCATCCACAGACAGACTTTAGCCAGCAGTATTACATCATATCAGCAGCTGCACCTTTTTTTCAGAGCAGGGAATTGAAAAAGGCAGAAATACTGTGCTGTTATGATGATGACTAACACTCTTCTCTCCATCTCTGCCTCTGCATCAGAGATGCATCCATGATGGCGATGCGTCGGCGGATCCAAGGCCTGAGCCCAGAGGAGATCCGAGCCCTGTCCAAAGATGAGCTGCAGATGCCTGTGACCATGGAGGACTTCACTCTGACTCTGAAGAAGATCTCCAAATCTGTCTCTGCTGCAGATCTGGAGAAATACGAAGCCTGGATGGCTGAGTTTGGGTCCGTATAAAGAGCAGCTGCCGGTGGACTCTAGGCTTTGAGGAAGTTCATTCTGTGAGTCAGGCAGCACATCAGGGATCAGCAGACCGGTGCCTTCGAGAGACATGATGAAAAGTCTTATCAACTTCATTCCAGTTTTTTAACATTCCCCCGTTAAMCCAAACGTGTGAGCAGACCTGTCAATCATCCAACTGCTGCTGCTCTGAAGCTTATTAAGGTGAACATTTCAAATACAACAAACATTTGTTGTAAAAGTAACAAAATAAAAAAAGCAAACAGTTTAACAGTTTTTGTGAGGCTTTAATTTTGAGAATTTGTGATTACCAGTATTTTTAATTTTTATGTTTTTGAGACATTGAGTGGAAAAGAGGAATAACATGTTTACAACACTGAGCTACAGGTCCATTTACAACTGATGGACACCGGGAAATAAGTTTATAAATGCAAAAATGGCATTTTGAGATGTGAAATGCTTCAGAAATAYTTAAAACAGCTGCAAACAATGTCATCACAACAGAGACACAGATTAGCTCACTTTAAGGATTATAGGCATGAATTTTACTATCAAAGTCTTTAAATTGTCTCTAAAACCCACAAACACACTAACTTTGCAGTTAGTGTTTTCTGTAAGAAAATTTAACTGCAAGTGATTTTTCAAATGAAGGTATTAAAATTAGCTGATATGTGAATTTTCCCCATAAATGTTTGTCTCATTAACAGATCTGCTCTGACGTAAGGACATGTCTGTTTTGAGCACTTTAAATGTTTGGTTCTGTATTAACACTGACTGAACACTTGAATTTTAGCACTACTGTCTGTCTTGTGAATAATTAAGTTTTTTGTTTGTTTGTTTTTTCACTTTTAATAATGTCACGACTAAAAGAATGTAGCTGATGACCTGTGGATTTGTTTGGTTTTTGAATAAAAGAAACATAATTCTCACTGGAAAGTGGAAACCATGCTTATGTTATTTGAGAAAACCTTTTAACTTGACTTGTTTGAACAAATTGTACAATTAAAGGAATGAAGCAAGAGCCAACGTGTAAACAAATGCATCTGCAATATGTTGGAAAAATATTAAGACACAATTTTACCAGCCTGCATCATCTCATCCTCTAAMAGTGAGATGAATTTTGGAACCAAAAGCATCTGTGCCTTTTGTTTTATTGCTTTRTTCTCATCATGTGCCAAATGGAAAATTAAACGAGGGGACTGCTGTGAAAGGCAGGYTGGTCATTTGATCACCTGGGGCCTCATGTACAAAGTTGTGTGGATGTCCCACTGAAACATTTCATACGCTTAAATCAAGAAAACTGCATAAATAAGTCCAGATGTATGAAACCGTGAGTATGCAACATTTAATTTGTGCATCCCATCTACGTGAAACTGAGCGGGCATCAGACTTGCCTCTGTGTGTTTGGGTTTGGTAAAACGTAGATTTTTATTTAATAAATGGTTATTTTTGATGAGTCACAGAGTCTCGGCTCAGGGATGAAAGTGAAATACTTGTTCGGTATTTCGTCTGTGTGCCTCCCAATTATTCTTCTGGTGGTGTAATCCATCAGCGCCATAGCTGGTATTCCACAATTACGCACAACTTTACGCAGCTATTTCTGTCAATTTCTGCACCTTGTCGACCTGAGAAATCATCACAGGCAAGTTGTTCTGAATTAATTTGCTGATCTGACACCAGTTGTCTTCTCAATACGCGCCTCAGCTGTCAGTGCGCCTCGCAGGTGTGCGGTCACTGACGTCACGTGTTTACGTCTAAGAAACTTTACCTTTTCGTTAGAGTGAGGTTTTTAATGTGCGTTACATGTTGTCTGAGGTTAAATGTGGTAGTGTCCTCACAGAGTTTGGAGGTAAACACATTCTCGTGCCAGGTCAAACGTGTGCGTAAATTYACGCACACTGTGGTTGATTTGATACATCCACACATGTGCGCGTCTGACGCGCGCAACTTGTTCGTGAGGCTCCTGTACTCTTTTATAACGGTGAGCATTTGATGTCAGTGGGGTTTTTTATTCTATTTTTTATTTATTTTTTTATTTTTATTTTTTATTTTTTGTCGTTTAACCAGCGGGAAAACAGCGACGCCGTGCGGCCGCATCACTGAAGTGCGCAGTAACGCTCCGCGACGCAGAGAGACGTTTCTGCCCTTTTTTTCTCCCTCCTCCTGTCCGCTCCCATTATCACCACAGCGGCTCTAACCAAGGTTCACAATGGAGACCAAACCGGTCATCACCTGCCTTAAAACGCTCCTCATCGTTTACTCTTTCGTGTTTTGGGTAGGTATCCTCCTGTTTTTATTGCTTTCGAACAGCCGCCCCGCAGAGAGAAGGATGGCGGCCGCGCGTGTATCGCTCCGCGTATGGAGCTGCTGTGTTTTTGTTGATGAAAGGGTTGGACGGTGCCAGCATCATCGACGGATTCGTGTGGTTTCATTGATAAAATGGTGGACTGGGACCACTCAACGCCGCTGCGTTTAGCTTTCATATTTATAAACTTCATCGCAGCTTATATAACGGGGGGTTTAAGGTTACAGTTAATTTTGGCAGCTGGGCGTCAGTCAGTGCGTGGACCACACGGAGCATCATCATGGTTGKAGTCAGTGAAGTGGAGGATGTTAACATCTCATGATAAAGAGCACTGAGAAAGGCCCGGTCTTTGTGACAGACAGGCCCGGATTAAAATCATTTTTCTCATCAGATTTTGTGCGTTTTGTGGGGGTTGCTGTAGATATTTAAAGGGACCCTGCAGCCTCAGTGGTGGAATGTAACATCATTTAACCACATCTAATAAGAAAATTTATCTTTAGTATTGATCAAAATATTGCCTGTTACTGTTATATGATGACATAAAAAATATGTGAATAAAGATTTTATTTAGATTTTTCTAATGAAAACTAGATTTATACTAGGCCTAATATAAAAAAATAAAATTTCTGATTTTTAATATACTTTTTTCAAGGTTTTTATATTTAGTTTGCTTCTTATCGACAGACCTGAATGTTTTCTTTCCCCAATTATAAGCACAAACAGATCCATTTCCAGCATTAGTCAATTTAAGAACATTTCTTTTTTATATTTCTTTCCAATTTAAAAGTAGTTATATTTAATGGTTAAAATGAAATTAGAATAAGAGTTTTGCAGGCTTTTAACAATGTGATATTTTTGTTTTTCCCATAGAATCCTTTTCATTAAAAAATTAATTTCTGTAGCCACCAACTTTTAGCTCAGTATCTTCAAAACTGACTGATTTAAAGCCCTTTTTGTGTTTGATAAAGTCAGTTGATTGTGTGAGCCATGTTGAACTGACTCCAGAAGTTAATCAGTTGTATGCTCAACTAAGAAATATTTTCAGAAAGATTTATTAAGATCTGCGTGTAGGGAATTGTGAGATATTTTTGCTAAGAGGTTTGACTTCAATAATGGCAACATTTCAAACAAAGACTTTGTGTGATATATTAGTGCTTAGGGTTGTCATGTTTTGCAGTGGTTAAAACCAGGATGAAAGCAAAAAATCCTAAAAAAAAAAATAATAAAAAAGCACAAATGATTTATTACAAAATAAAGGGGCTGGCAAGGCAGCAAAAAATGGTCACTTACAAAAATAACTGAAAGGCAATGCTAGGCGCACAAGAGAAGACTAAACAAGACTGGCTTGGGAAGCACAATGAACTGACAGGGAAAAGAAGAAAAGACAGAGTTTAAAGGGTGAAACTAATGAAGCAAAATGAGACACACCTGGGAAGAGACAACAGGTGTGGTAGGAGCTGAGGGGAGGAGAAGCTAAACTTTCCATCCTTCTAACTCCTCCTCCGTCCAGTAATTATAAAAACTTTTCCAAACTTCCTTCAGATCTGTACACTTTTCCAAATGATATTTGTCTCTTTCCGATATATCTTTAATGTAGTCTTTGTATGTTCTTCTCCATCTGGGAGTAGGTTTTACATTCTTCTCAGTTGACAGTTTGGGGTGGGGGTGGATTCAGTTGTTCTCCAGTTGCAGTTTGGGGAAACTACCCTTGTAGTTCTGGTTGAGGTGGGCGTTCAGTCTTGGTTCCAATTCTGCAGAAGTCTCCTTGTTATTCATCTGAACCTGTCATATCATCTGAATATTCTCCTGTTGTCTTCAGCAGGAGCTTGTTTCATCTATAGGTCATGTCTGATGTCAACAACTCAGCACCAGACCGATTCAAAGTCAGTGCATCTGCCCTAAACAAATGTCTTTGCTCCCAGAAAATATTGAATTTGTCGATAAAGTTCACAGACTTCTCAGAACATATATTTTAAAGCCACTTATTAAGAGCCAACAGTCTACTAAATTTTTCATCACCAACTTGAATTGTGGGGACGGGTCTGCTGATGTATACCTCCATCTCGAGGCTCTGGATTTTGTTTAGCAGATGATTAAAATCCTCATGACATGATCCGCTCCAGCATGAATGATAAACTTTTTCAGTGTTGGATAGTCGGCTGTGATCTCCATTATCTTCTCTGTGAGATCTGACACTATATTATCAGCAAAGCTAAGAACCTTTAGCACTGGAACTGAAGCTGAAGAGGCAACAGGGAATGATGGGGAACAGCGGAGGTTGCAGCAGACAGGGACTCTGAAGAAGTTGCAAGAGACGATGGGGACCCAGAAGAGGTTGTTAGAGAGGGAACTCAATGGCGAATGCAGGCGATGGATGATGGTAGGCAGCTGAGAGGCCACCATGCTTCGGAGGAGCAGGTGCCAAAGGCCCAGCAGGAACAGGAGCTGAGGACCCACCAGAAACATGAAACGGATTGTGAGGGTGGGTTCAGGTAACCAGACCCAACCCAGCTGATGTGACCCGCAGGTCAGGGAACAGGAAGCCTCAGAAGAGATGTGGGGTACCAAGGGCCATGATTTCCCGAAAGCCTGCAAGWCAGGCACTTACAAAAATAAATGAAAGGCAATGCTAGGAGCACGAACAAAACAACACTSGCTTGGGAAGCACAATGAAATGAAGAGAAGACAAGAAACAAAATTTAAGGGGTGAAAACTAACAAAGGGAAATAAGACACACCGAGACAACAAGGATCAGGTGAGAAGGTAACCCGGCACAAGGAGCAAAGAGACACAGTACAAGGCACAGAAAGGAAAATAAACAATAAACTAACATAACCCCAGATCCTTACAAGAGCACGTGTTGATGATGACACTCGGCTACTACAACTCAAAATTATTACTCGGTGTCTGTAAAATAAAAAGTCATTTTATGGACGATCGGCTGTGGCGGCCATCTTGAATGATGCTGACTCTAAAAGTTAACCAATTACATTTTCATCAGATTTTTATAAGTCTTAAGCAAACTATCATTCTAATTTTGAATAAAACAAAGTGGAGTTCATTATTCAAAGCAAGCTGCTTGAGAAAACACTCGTTTTGTTGAAAATGTTCTGCCTGACTGTGATTAACAAGGGGTTGCCTCAGCTGCTCAAATCAAATCTGGGCTTGAATTATTCTGAGGTGAAGTAAATAATRGAAATATTTCTCCAAATCTCATCCACTTTTCTTTGGGTTTTATGTCAGAGTTCAGCTTTGTTTATTTATTAGATTACCGTTTAACATGACCATGCAACTGTTCAAAAGAGGTGGAAAATTAGTCCAGTGAAATGCRATGTTTGGCTGATTTTAGGTTTTAAATGTTTGGGATACGCTCTTTGTRTCTAAAAATTAAACTTTAAGCAATCCAAGCTTCGGTACTTTTATTTGAAGAAATGCAAATGAATGCTAATCTTACAGAAATTAAAAGTTAATAAACTGAGATTAGCCCCTAAATTAAGATTGCTGCATATCTGTCATGAGATTTTATATTTAGTCGAGATTAGATGATCTGCCTGACATCTACAGCGTCAGGTTTCAGGYGGTCCGAGTGCAGACGTGTCCCCCCTCAATGTGAGTCTCTTCGACCCCTCGAGGGCGAAGCTTGGGGACAGCRAGAGAGAGAGAGAGAGCTCAGGCGCTCGGTTCGATAGTGGTAGAGATGTGTCGGTTTCAATGTCAGCAGCTTGTCGTGGCAAATAAAGTCTCAAGCTAGAGGAAGTGTGTCACCAAACGGACATGCAGAAACTCAGAGTGGGGCGCACAGGAATGCGGAGCAGGTGGTGGTGTCGGCTTGGTGTCCCCGCGAGCATATTTTTTTCATTGCACCTTCTGGCTCTTTATTAGGCTAAAAAAAAGGATGGGGGGAGGATGACCTGTTTTAAACTCTGCGTCGTTACCACGGCGGCCAGCTGGGTATTGAATTTCAAACAAAACATGTGGGGCTGAGTGTCAATAAGGAGTTGTGGGCCTCCAGAGGGGACAAGCTAGGCTCTGTCAAAGTGCTTCAGACGTGTACTCTGAATTTTTCTTTGGTCTCCTCCAACTTAAAACCCTCAGTGGCATTATAAGTAGGATTTGAGCAATGATAAAAATGACTTTTTTGTATGCAGCAGCTGTTTGTAGCGCAGATATTTTGCCTGTTGATGATGTAAGGCAGTGAGTAGATTGTAATCAGAAGCAAGCCTGACATGACAAACTGTCCTGGCTGATACATTTACTGTTTATAGAAACATTAGAAATCATTAATGATAAACTGAATCATCAGCCTGCAGTCCTTTGGTTCGTTTGGGCTGAAAAGAGTATGGCGTTAACATAAAGGTGCATTGGACCTTTATGTTCAAAACGATTGAGAATGCAACATATTAGTTCATTTTTACTTTCCTAATTTATCCCATTGGGTTTCTTTGTGTCCACAGGAGAAGCAGGCTAAAAACACTGCAGTGCTTCATGGTAACTTTAAGCCTGCTGAGGAACACCATGTTGCAGTGTAGCCTATGTGTGAAGAAATGAAAAGTTTTCTGCCAGACTAGAATGAAGGGGCAAGTATGTGGAACAAAAAGCATAAAATCAGCAATATTTAAAATTTCTCTTGAGAGATACAAACCCTATAACCCTGGCCTGAGAACAGATGTTCTTTTTGTCACGTTTGAACAAACGACTGAGTCCGCTGAGGGTGTCCTAACATGGGATTTCAAAGCCAGTTTAGAGATCATTAAATTCTTGCTCAGCTTCCAGTGTTCACTATATCATGTTTTTTGTTTTGTTTAATCATGAAACGAAGCACGGAGATGATCTTTCAAAGCATCAGGATAAACAAAGAAATTTAAATCATTTTTTCTTGTAAAATTGAGATATTTTGRATAACCTTCAGGGTGCACTAGAGAGAACACTGGGAACATTTGGGAAATGCTTTTTAACAGCAGAATTTACAGCATGCAAATGTTAAACAAAATGCTACGGGCCCTTATAAAAAATCTTGTTACATAGAAAAACAGGAGCATATAGAGTTACTGTAGCGAACAGTTCAGATATCAGTAGGTGTGCTGATTGCTAATGAAGTGCAGAGGCTGTGTGGGAAGCTGGAAGCTATGAAGGACATCTATGAAGGTTCAATCAAATCTCAAAATAATATACTTTATAAAATTGTCAGACAGCTAGACTTTAGCCTAGATTGGACCTCTGTGTTTATTTCAAGGTTTACCAAGTTCTGCTGAAGTTGTGCAGAATGGATTTTATGACTGCATGGGATGACTGTTAATATTATAGACCAAGTGTCCCCACCTTCTCTTGTTGTTGGGAATTAAAGCCAGCAGGACCTGATTCACAGAAGCTGTCATGATGTATKTTTGGAACCAGACTGGAACCAGTAAACAAGGACGCTGGTATTGTTCCAAGATTCAGATGAAGGTTTAGATCAGGGGTGGTGGGCAATCCTGGTGCTCAAGAGGCTCTATGCTGCACATTTACTTGTTTCTCTGCTCCAACACACCTGCTTTAAYGATTGAATTACCTCTTACATTTTAGAATGACCAATAACAACATTTTTTGTCTTAGTTGTTARAAAACAGTGAGGTGAGTATACTTAAAAATAGATAATGAATATAGTTACTATGCCCTTGCATATTTGACCTAGTACCAATGTTTATCAATGAAAAATGGTTGAAGGCGTAGGTCCCTGCTACTGTGATCTTGTGGGTCAAAAACTGAAAGGTTTAGGAACCACTGGTCTATAGGGCCGACAACAATGAAACTCCCATTCAAACAGGATGCTAAACACAGAACAAAATCACAAGTCAAGTCTTGAGAGGAAGAAAAAAGGTTTTTTATCCATAACTCAAGGACAACAAGGTCATATTTACCATAACATTCCCAGTGAGAAATCTTTCAAACATCTTTTCTTCTCGTTTTTTTGAATAGACAAGCCAGCACAGTATTGTGACACAACAAATCTAAAACCAGTGTGAAACGAGAATACAGCCATTGGCTCATACACGTGTACACAAAACTTGCAGGCGATGCAGGTTTCCACCGATCAGGAAGACATGAGTGAATCAGGGCCAACCTTTCGCCGGTGAATGATCAGCATCACATCGAATGGCTTTCCATCCTTTCCAGGAGGAAACAAAACAACACAATAAATCTTTCCCCTACAGGTTGATGGGAAAACAGGTGGGAAGCAAACTGTTCAGAATGTGTCGTGTTGTCATCTAGGATGGGATAAAGGAACTGTGTGTTCTTCAGTCATTACACAGAAMTGCTGCTGAGCTTTAGAGAGAGGCCACTACAACAGGCAGTTGATCTTTACTGATTTGCAAATGACAAATAGTCTATGAAAACAAGCCTGYCAGAAACGAAAAGGTGTCATATCGCAAATTTTAGTTACAAAGGATTCAAAGATTGACAGCTGGGACATTTATTTAAAGGGAAAACTGTTTCATGTTTCGACAGCCTTGCAATCTGGCAGCAATCACATTTCTTATTTATCTCTACGGCAAAAGTAGGACACAAGATTACCCTCCTAAAGAGACGTTATCTTCACAGATTAGTATGTTTTTATGACACTGGTAGACATTCTGACTCCATGTTGGGATTTTTTTTCTGGGGCATTGTGACATTTACCAACAAAATCACTCATGACACTTCATATTCATTAGCGGTTTTCAGCCTTTGCAGTCTCCTCCACATTAAGTGTTGACGTCATCACATAGCAACATCTTTGCTGCCATCTCTGCATTTAGAAAAGTCCAGAGAGGCTTGTGGGCATGAATTTGAGCATTATTATTATTAAACATAGCTGTGACTGGTTCAAGGATATCATTCATATGTCGTGCTCATACCCCGGTCTATATTTTATTTCTAAGACTCCAACACGGTAGCTTTGTGTTATTCACATTCTTTCTTCCTTTTTCCATTTATGTAAGTCTTTTGTTCATCTAATAACTAAAAGAAGCTGTTTCCTAAAGGCCCCCCRCTTCCTAAAAGCCTGCTCTCTATTCATCAAACATTTTCCGAAAGCCTGTGGAGAGGCAGGACTCACTGCTAGTGAGCTGGACTCCTCGGGCACAATATATCTCTTTCGATAGGAAAGAATGTGTTGGCTTGTTGCAGAATGTGATTCCTTAAATCAAAGTCCTTTATATTTATGTTTTATTTAATCCATGCTTTAAGGGGGCTGCGTAAGCTCAGTGGTCAGTGCTGTGGTCTTGTAATTGTGAAGCTGCAGGTTCGAGCTCAAGTGGCATTAAGAAGGGCATCCTGTGTAAAATAAAAAAGGCATCATTTCATTTTTAATACCAGCAGAAGAACCAAAATAACATGTATTAGTCTTTAAACTGTAAGGTTCCATTGAAATGCACCCTTCTCCCATAGAATCAGTCTGACAGATATTAAAGAAGTTGTCATAGACTTAAAATACATGTGTAGATTTAGTTTTTTTCATTTCAGCGTGAACATTCATCATTCTAAGATTTCAAATATGACAGAAAATAAGGAAAAGCACAGCTGCTGTATGAATGCTCAAGATTTTTACATGTTCAGCACACAGAACTGATCATTTATTGTCTGTTATCAACTGCAAAAGCAGTTTATCTGTCTTTTTATCACCCGCTGGCATGAAATGTGAACATTAGTGTAACTGCTTGTCTCTGAGTGTACAATATGTGTATTCGTTTATCTGTTTGTTAGCAAAAAAATTCTTCTGAACAAACTGACCGATTTGAACGAAAAGCTCCAATCATCACTATTTGATGTACGTCATCTGAACTGAGTCAACCCTATTCAAGATGGCCGCTACAGCCAATCAGCATCAGCAAACACAAAAACAGCTATAACTCAGTCGGCCTTAAGGACACTGAGCTAAACTTTGGTGTGGCGCAAGCTGAGCCTTATGGACACCTGACACATGACACCTGAATTTCCACTCGACGGGACAATAAAGGCTATTCTATTCTATTCTTATTCCCTGTCAATATATTGAGCGCTAACACAGGAGTTCACAATCTTTTCCATGCCATGACCCCCCAAACAGCATTTTCGCTGGGACACCCAAACCCCCCACACCACAAACAATGCTACAAAATTTGTAAAGAAACATATAAGTTTTTAGTATGTTTTTCTCACTTCTATTYACTATTACATTTTTGCTTAGCATAAGAATTGTCTGGTCGGTTCTTTCTGTCTTTTTCTTGTCAGAAACTTGTCCATTCAGAGCTTACTATGCTTGCTTGAGGAGGGAAGCAACCAATAAGAAAGATGAGCATGGCAGATAACATTTCAGTATATTATTATAAATTATATTTTAAAATAATGATTGAAAACCAGATTTTCCTTAGATTGATTTTTCTTATTTTTTTCGTATTTACCCTCAAGCTGAAGCCCCACTAGTGTCCTCTGGTGCCCCCCCCCACCCCCCACCCCCCCAGGGTGATGTGGCAACCACTTTGAAAACACTGTGCCAACAGATCTCTAAAAGATCTTTGTTTCATGTTTTAGCATGCAAGGCAGTGGATGATGCTCATTCCTTTATTTTCAATGTGTTGCACCCAAGTTTGAGGAATATTACACTGATGCGAAATCAGAACATTTACAGAAACAAACAAGGATTCAGAAATCAGTTCGTCAGAGAACACTTTAAAATAACTTCCTCAGCTCTGTGTGATCAGTCTGAAAATAAACAGCGTGAGCTTTCTCGCCATAGCACCTACAACTTATACTTATACTTGTTTTTTCTTAGCTTACGCTTAAATTTAAATGAAAACTGACACTAAAGTTAGGTTTTGAAAATTGTTTTCCTGTCTCTTGATAATCATTTGCCCACATTAACCTTTTAATGATTAATCAAAATGTGAGTTACAGGTTTAAACTGGTCTTTTAAAGATTTTATTGTGCTTCATTCTTTCTCCCATAACTGTCTTTTATCCAGTCTGTCTCTGTCAGCCACTGCCGAGTTTTTTTGTTTTTTCGTCCATGATGTGGATATAAAACTGATGTGCAAAAGTCTGTTTACAGGACAGTTTTACATAGATTTTAGAGGCTTTGTTTAAAGGCTTTAGACAAATGCATTAGAATAAAGCAGCAGTGAAACTACAGACAAACCAGAGGCTTGCTGTGTTTTATAGCAAAGAACCTTTGCCCAGTTTTTATTTGCAAACCTTGCCAAAAGGAGCAACATAGAAGTACATTCGCAGAGGCAAATGTGCAGTGCATGCAAGAAAATTTAATTACTATTTTTCAATCCTGTTTCCTTTTTTTTGTCAGGGACTAATAGTTAAAAAGAAAGTCCTAACAGCACAGAGTGTTCYTTCTGTAATCAGAAGGCCTCGCAGAAGGATGAGCTTGGCCCTCGCCGGAGTCAGATCATCAGCAGCCGTTTACCGCCCCGCGCTCTACCCAGCGCCGGCAAGACAAACCCAGCTGAGGCACACACYGCTTCAGCTGCCTCAAACAACGCGCTCTTTTATCCGCGGTGCTCATTTGAAATGCTAAAAGARGCGCAACAGGAGGAAGCGTCTCGCCTCGGATCAAAGCACGCCTTTGATTTGGTCCCCCTTCCTTTTCATCCGTCTCTCTCTGCGCGGCGCATTCATAAAGCAGATGATTGGCACCTCGTACTCCAGATGATTTCGTGTCTTCTGTCTTCCAGCTCCTCCTCCTTACGCTAATTGCTCTCCTTTTTGTTCCACCTTGATCCTTTTCCCTCTCTTTTTCTTTTTTTTTAGAAAAAAATGACACATCTGTTGAAATAATGCACAAGTGCAAAGATAAAAGGGTCTCTTCCCTGCTTTCATTCTTGTCTCTTGTTGCTCTACCCCCCCCCCCCCATTTAGATAACAGGAGCCATCCTGCTTGCCGTTGGAGTGTGGGGGAAGCTGATGCTGGGCCCATACATCTCTCTGATAGCTGACAACTCCACCAATGCTCCGTACGTCCTCATCGGCACCGGAACCGTCATCATCGTTTTTGGCCTGTTCGGATGCTTCGCCACCTGCAGAGGAAGCCCATGGATGCTGAAGCTGGTGAGAGACCGTTCTGTTGCAGGAAATGTTCTAGATGTTGATTAATTAGCCTCAGGACACGCAGTACAAAGAATAAYGACTGACCTCTGTCCTGTACAGAGGGATGAGAAATCTAGTAGAAGTTGCAGGACACTTAGTTCAGTTAATGGTGGTGAAGTGTTTGAGCATGTGTGTGGTTATATGCAAATGATTCTCACCTGGGGCAGAGGCTTTTTTATGCAAACAATGAAAATGTCCCTTTTGTTTTTATAGTATGCCATGTTTCTGTCGCTCGTCTTCCTCGCCGAGTTAGTGGCGGGGATCTCTGGCTTTGTGTTTCGCCATGAGGTCAGTATCACTTACTACTTACTTACAGTACTACTTTTTTATTTTGTTTTGCACAAAGGCTAAATAMGTTGGAGTTGATTAATTAGGCCTTTACATTGTGCATGGTGCAGATAAAGGGAACCTTTCGCAGGACTTACAACGATGCTGTCCTGAACTACAATGCTGAGGACGAGGCGAGCCGCGCTGTGGATAACCTGCAACACAAGGTCAGAGGATTATAAACAAACACGTTCTCACATATAGAAAGTCTCCCAACAACTTGAGTTTGGAAACAGTTAAATCTGGATTTGTGTGTTTTTTAATTAGTTTTTCATTAAATGAAACAACTAAAGTGGGCACTGGTCACATGACCTTGTGATGCATTTTAGTTGTTGAAACCGGAGTACCAGGAGAAAACACAYGCATGCACAGAGAGAAAATGTCAATTCAACACTAAGAGGTGTAGCTGCGATCCTCTCGCCTAAAGTTCCTGTGACATGCACATCCTTCAAATACAAAAAAAAATTAAGAAACTTTATTTTCTTTACACATTTGGCACATAGCTCGCATATTTTCTTTTAAATTGATCTCAGCCAAAGTAAAACAGGAAGTGACATAAAAKGGGAACTCTTAAAGAAAGTGAACTCCCTGGTCTTTGTTTATTGAAACAATAATATTTGAACTCACTTCATGTGACACTATGTGTCACTTCACATGCAAATATCTCAACAACCGTTCATCTCAGCAGCATGACTTATTTTTGCAGTTGTCTTTCCAAAAATGCATTTAACAAAAATGTGTTGTCACAGGCACTTTAAAGGCAACACTGGTCGGCTGTGCCCAGTTTAATCGATTGAAAACATTATTAGTTACTCACTACCCCTCTGTTTTACAGCCAAAACTACAAAGAAACAGACTTTACCATCAATTCTGATGTTCTATTAATTCAGCCGTCCACTCAATTATTATCTTTTTTTTTGTTTTAGCTGCGTTGCTGTGGAGTTTATAACTACACCAGTTGGTTTGCCAGCGTGTATTATCCCTCCAACGGAATCCCTGCCAGCTGCTGCTTTAACGCCTCTGACTGCAACCCAGAAGATCTCCGCAATGCAACTGTAGCTCCGAACAAAGTCTACCACCAGGTGGGCTTTACACTCTGTTTTCTGTTTTTCTTTTTCCCACCAGCCTGCTGCTCAGTAATCAATAAACCTCACCAGTTAGGCATATGACACTTTAAACTAGGGGGGTCTCAATGCCACGTTTACTCAAACCGAGATACTTCAGTTTGGATATTCACCTATACTGAGTACCTATGCCAAATACTGAGTTAGAACTTAAACATTATACAATAACTTTAAAAACATTTTATTTATTTAGAACAAGGTTACTCTCCTTCCTCATTGGCCTGCAGCCCCTCTGACTGGTTCAAATCAAATATGCAGCATGATAAATAGCAGGGCTATTCAACTGGCATCCCATGGGCCGCACCCAGCCCACGGGCGACTTCTGTCTAGCCCCCACAATGAAAATTTTTTTTTACTCAATTTAATATAAAAATAAATTTTGAATTAATTGTAAATTTAATTTTTTTGATTCTATGCAACAGAATAAACAAATTAAAAGGGTAAAAGATAATAATACCTGTTCTGTTACATAATGCAATGTTTCATCTACCTTTTAATGGACAACACCCCCCACCCCTCCCCCGGGGATATCCGGCTCCTGAGCTGTTGGCTTTCAGTAACTGTGGCCCMCTGAACAATTTAGTTGATTAGCCCTGATATATACTGTTGCAACATTTTAAAATAGATAAAAAAAAATAACATTTTCTTTTAACTTGTATAAATTTCATAAACATGGAACTGACAAACTTTTCACTTGAAATGAAAACTGTGACACGTGCAATGGAGTAGTGACACAATATTGAATCCGGTATTGGAAATCAGTATTGGTATCGGTCTCGAGTATCGGGGCATTTTGTACGAGTACTTGTAAAAATAGTAATAACAATGGATTCTAGTGCTACATCTTTAAAGTCATAAAAACTACAGAAATAAATAACTAAAAATCCCTAAAACCAGAGAAGGGTATTGCCATGTATGCACTATTTTGTTAGCTGACCAATCTTGTGTTGGATTCTGGCAGAGACAGAAGGCCAATAAAGAGAATGCAGGACTGGTGTGATGTGCTCATGTTTTTTGGTTTGGTAATGTTGGTATCAGGCCTGATACCAAAACCAGTATCCAGTAGTACCAGTACTACCATGACACAGCACTTTTACCATCAATTTTCAAACCCCCTGCTCTCGCCAAACTCTAACTGCTGCCTCAGACACTCTCCCACATTTCCATCTTGCAACTTATTTGCACATATACCATGTCCCTGTATCCTCTGCAGACTAATGTGGCCCCCTGTGTTTCAGGGCTGCTTTGACTTGGTCACTTCGTTCATGGAAACCAATATGGCCATTATTGCTGGAGTCACATTTGGAATCGCCTTCTCGCAGGTAAGAATTTTGAGGAGTTTTATTGTAAGCTTAAACGAAGTAACACATTTAGTTGGAATACCAATAAAGATCAGCTTAAATGAGTCTTAATGTTTTCAGCTGATTGGAATGTTGCTGGCGTGCTGTCTGTCCCGGATCATCACAGCCAATCAGTATGAGATGGTCTAGCTGATGTGATGTGGCAGGTGGGAGGTGAGTTCTAATCCATCGACAAATACACTTTAAAAACTGTGTTTTCACTCTTACACATTAAACTTGTCTCTGCTTTTAGGGAGATGGAGAGAAGATGAGACAAAAAGAGTAAATTCCTAGAAACTCCATCGCACATGAAGTGGAATCGACCTCTGTCTGTCTCTGCCTGCGATCTCAATGTATTATCTTAATGTAACTTATTGTAAAGCACCATTCCTTGACTCACTGCGATAGCATCGAAGCCTACTATACCACACACACCACATCGCTGCTTGATGTAGAAGTTGCTCATTAGCAGATCATTTCTGATCTGCGCAGCCCATAATAAGCAGGTGGATCAGAGTTGTCTGAGCCGACAGCCTTCAGAAGGTCATTATTTAACCCTGACTTAAACCTACAAGTTTTTTAATTATTACTCATCCTTGTATTGTTTGTGACTTGATGACGTGTACTAAAGAGGAGGGTTTTTGTTATCAAAAGAGAGAAAGGGGAGAATTACAGTATTGTATTTTTTTATCATAGCATAAAGAACAATATTTTTTTCCCAAAATATCAAAAAAGCTAAACCGTGACAAGTTCTAATGAAAGGAAACAAATGTGATTGTTTTTTTTTATAATTTTTTTGTGATCGTTCTACTGTGAAATTTTTAAAYATGTTCATAGTCTCAAAGTACCTTCAAATTAAGCCATTTAATGAGTTTTATAAGGGAAAAAAACAAATTCATCGAGTCGAAGAGGCTGCGTCACATCAGTTGTCTCTGAGTGGTTATTCAAAATGCAGGTTTATAACATCAAATTCTAATTCTACTAAAAATTCTGTCTTTGCTACACAAATTCATACAATGAATTAATAAAAGCTTAAAAAGACAACAACACAGCTAAAAAAATTATTTATTTTTTTGGATTTTAGCTCTTTTTCCCTCAAAATCAGCACTACTTTGTGCAACACACCAGTACYACAGCATGATGTTACCACCGCTGTGCTCGCCCATTAGTAGAATTTTTTTTAAAAAACGAAAACTGAAAATCTACGCTGTCTTTCTGAACCTTTGATTCCACTGAAATGCTTGTTTTTGTGACCTGGGGTCGGTTTTATAAAACTGGCGTACGCAYAATTTGAGCCCAGAAACTTGCGTACGCCACTTTTTACGCCAAGGTTGTGATTTATAAAATCCAAATTTGACGTGAAAATGTGCGGTGCCTCACGCCAGCTCTGACCCATGCGTACGCTCATTTTGGAGACGGGAAACTGCGACACAGATGGTGAAGTGAGGAATTAGAGCCACACTGTGTAATGATCACTGTCAGAGATTTAATTTCATTTCATAATCAAACTTAGATTTTTTTCAACCTTATCATCAGCTTTATTATCAGTAATATTTATGCTTCTGCTGCTGAGCCATGAAGACCTTTGATATAAAAAAACTTAAATCTTAAATAAAAG